TCTTGCGCCCCCAAGCGGGCCGGCAGTTGTTGGCGACTTGGGCTCAGAGCTGCACACCACACCGAATCTGCTGACCCGCACAGTGCGGGTAACGCTCCGCCACCTCACCAGACCCTTGGCGACCAAGCCATGCCGCGTCGCGCCCGAGCGCACGACCCCTGCATTTGCAGGAGGGCGGATGTCTGTTCACTTGCTCCGCGAATGAGGCACGTACGGCAAAACTTCGATTGTATCCAAGGGGGGGAGAACACTTTCTCAGTGCGAAGGGCAGCGGACGCGTCTGGCTTCGAGCTCGCCGTTTTGGTCGGCGTACCCTCTGTGTGCGCCCGTGTTTTTTTATAGTTTCTGCTCATCGTGGGCTCTGTCTGATCTTCAGTGGCCTGCGAGAGCATCGCCAGTGGACCGGTCGCTCGTGCACACCAGTAGGGCTGTGCTCTCGGTCTGCTCTCTTGCCCCACGCGTGCGCAGTCGTTCCAGTAGGGGGCGGCTGTGCGCTCACGCGAGCGCCGCGAGCTGTCCAGCTCTTCTTCCGAAGCGGGCCAGGCCCCTCCGCCCAGGGATTCTCCTTGCCCCTGGCCGCCTGGTCGGATACCGGTACTGCCGGCGGCACAGGGCTCGCCCCCGTGCCGCCGAGTCTGCCACATCGGATGGCGCGTGGCTGTGCCATCGTGTCCTGCCACGCTGCCTCGGGGACTCCAGCTGGCGGGGGCGGAGTGGGACTCCGCGCCCTCCTGCTGCGCCATCCTCCTCCTCCCTCTCCTCCTGCCATCCCCCCCCCACCTCCTCCATCGAGCAGTGGCGAAGCGTCCTGGCGTGCCTATAGGCCCAGAGACTGCCCGAGATGTTCTTAGAACATGTCTGGCTGAGAATGTCGTGTTTTAGCGCATCGGCCTACGTTGCAAGAACATTGCTTTTGTTCGTAGAACTTTTTGGGATTCTGGGAACATTTCGGTAGGCCTATAGGATCGCCAAGACAGGCTCTTACGATTTCTCTGGCCTCCCTCTGCCCAGACATCAGGCGCCGTGCTTTTCTCACGACGCGGCTCCCGAGAGGTCTCGATACCTTCCTGGAGACTAGATTTTCATCCCGAGCCGTTTTGTTGACGGTCTCCGTGCCCAGCATGTTCCGCCGTGATTTCTTCATGACGTGGGGGGGTCAGGTTCCCAGGGGCCTGCGATCTTTCAACTTGGGATCCCATTTTCAGGCGTACCGTGTGTCACGTGTGTGTGTGTGTGTGAGTGTGTGTGTGTGTGTGTGTGCGTGGGTGGGTGGGTGGGTGCGTGCGTGCGTGCGTGCGTGCGTGCGCGTGTGTGTGAGTGAGTGAGTGAGTGAGTGAGTGAGTGTGTGTGTGTGTATGTGTGTGTGTGTGTGTGCGCGTGCGCGTGCGCGTGCGCGTGCGTGTGTGCCCTGCGTGCGTGCGTGCGTGCCTGCGTGCGTGTGTGCGTGCCCTGCGTGCGTGCGTGCCTGCGTGCGTGCGTGTGTGTGTGTGTGTGTATTTGTGTGTCTGTGTGTTCAAGCGCGTGTGTGTGATTGTGATTGTGATTGTGATTGTGATTGTGATTGTGATTGTGATTGTGATTGTGATTGTGATTGTGATTGTGATTGTGATTGTGATTGTGATTGTGTGTGCGCGTGTCCCGCCTGTGCCCGCTGAGCACCGCCGCCTTCTGCTCCCCCCACTGCCCGCTCCCTGCTGGCGCTGCCTCGCGAAGGGCCAGCGCCTGCCCCCCTGCTGCGCCTGCACGCTTTCGGGGGTCGAACCCTGGTGGCCCCACCTGGACGCGACCTCGAGCCCCTTGAGCGCCCGAGCGGCTTCGCCCCCGGCTGCGTGCGACCGAACAGTGTGTGTGTGTGTATCCCGCACGCTGGCCACTTCGCTTTTCGGTGCCCCCGTCTAGCTCTGTCGCTGTTGCGGCCAGCTCTGCCTCGCCGCCGACGAATATCGTGTGTGTCTGCGTGTGCACCGAGTGGCCCGAGTCTCCTGCTTTGACAATGCCTCGGCACTCGTCTGCAGTGCTCGCCGTCCTCTTCCGCCCTGCGCCCCCTATGCGGGGGTGCCTGGGCGTAGTCGCGCGTGCCTCTCCGGCATGCACACCCTTCTTCCTGCACGCGCACCGTTTGGCGTCTGCCCTCGTCGACACGTGCTCGGTTGTAATCACCTCTCGCGCGCCCCGCAATCCGCCTCGTTTAGTTGGACCAGCCGGCCTAGGAGCAAGACGTGTGTGCATCGAGTGAGGCTCCGCTGGCGGGGGCCGACGAGTTGCGGGTGGAGGCCGCCTCTGCGGCCAGGCCATGCACAAGCAGACAAATGCTGGAGCCCTCGAGGCGGTACGCTCGGCGCGCATGCGCCCTTTCCCGCATAGATGTTAGTGTGGGGGAGCTTGCTGGGGCCCAATTCGCGCATCTGTTCTTCTTCAGCTCGATTCTAGTTCGATTCTAGCCCGACTCTAACTCAACTCAGTTCGATTCTAGCTCGACCGTAGCTCGAGCTCGACTCTAGCTCGACTCTAAAGCGGCTCTAACTCGACTATGGGCGTGTGCGACTCTAGGTCGATCGGCTCTAGCTCGAATCTAGCTCGACTCAAGCTCGGTTCGATTCGACTGACGTTCGACGCAGCATCGACTCATTGACGGAGCGAGTGGCTCCAGGAATGTCCCCAGCACGGGCGTCTAGCTTCCCCTCCCCGCCAAGTCCTGCTGCAGAGGCGTGTTGGGCGGCTCCAGACGGTGTGAGCGCCTCGCCTGGCTGGGCCGCTCGTTCGAAGGCCAGGCGGGCACCTCCGGCTAATTGCCCCCGGCTAGTTGTTGGCGGGAGGAGACCCGTCTTGCTTCGTGACCACTCTCAAGGGCAACGCTAGGCTCAGGGGGGAGATACATCGACCCCTAATGACCAACTCGTCGACGATTGGGGTCTGATGGCCGCCCCGTCCAAGAACTTGCGGTTTCACTGTCGGGGGCTTTATCGCCGTTCTATCGGCGAACTACGGTTAGGAACTTTGGCTCAGCGTGTCGCGCCGACGGTTTGGGCCCACTACGCTTCGGCGCGACACGCTATCCATTTCCTGGTCCCCGAGCGTCACCGTCCCGAGCCTTTCCCAGCTTCCCGCCCCGCCACGAAGCGGAGCGACACGCTATCCGCTCACAGGGCACAGCGTGTCGCCGTGGTCGCCGCCGCGACGCGCTAAGCAAAGGTTCCTGACAGTATATATCGCCGATTCCAGCTCGATGCCCCCCCCCTGACTCCTCCTCCTCCTCCTCCTCCTCCTCCTCCTCCTCCTCCTCCTCCTCCTCCTCCTGAGTCGCCCCCCCCGATCCCCGCATGGGGCGGCGGAACGACGCCGTCCCGCGTGGACTGCGGCGAGAGGAGGCAGCTCGAGCGCAGGAACCTCTGGGGGCCCTCGCGAGGTGGTGCCTCGGCCCCAGGGATCTCTCTGGTGACGCCATGTGTCTCAGTCCTGGCGTGTTCTCTCTTCGATGTCGGCCTCCATGGGGCCCGCTGCCGGGCCCGGAGGCGTCGGAACAAGTACACGCGGAGCGGGCAGCTACACCCGGGGGAGGGGTCGGGATCCATGGGGCCGCGCACTGAATCTGCACGAACGAGATGGGCACGGAAAGAATGGGTACAATGCTCAACAGCAGTCCCTGTTCATTTTGAGCAGGACTCGCTGTCCGCGCCGCCGCGGCCGGTGTCCGTTTGGGACAGCAGGCCGCCTGCCCAGCAGCGGCCGCTGTTGGTTTGGGACAACATTTGTCGTTGGGCATTGTGCCCATTTTGTCCGTACTCCAGATTTCGTACTAAAGGGAGGGGGGTCTCATTTCGGGGGGGGTCTTTTCCAAGCTATCTTGGAGGGCCTGGGGGGGTCTGGGGACGATGTTTTGGCGGGTTCTCCCACGGGGGAGGTCTGAAATGGCTTGTCATGGAGGGTCCAGACCCCCTCCCTTTTATTACGAAATCTGGAGTACCCATTTCGGGCGCCCAACCTGAAAAACATCTCATCGTCGGATGTTCGGGTCTCGTGTGCGGGTCGCGGGGGCCAGCCAGCGCGGCCCGGGCCCCGGCGCCGGCGAAGGCCCCGACGCCTGCGCGCTGCTCACCAGCATCGAGGGCTGCGGGCGGCTGCCAGCCCATTGAAAAAGAGAAACACTCATTGGCATAATTTTCAGGAGGGGAAAAAGCACACGGACACAATTAATCCTCGACTCCTTAGAAAACATGGGGAAAATATGGGAAGTGGGGGGGGGGGGGAAGACAGAAGCCCCGAAATCATGTGAAAATATGGGGAATATTTTTATTTGTGTGTATTCCTCTGTGTGTCCTGGGGCCCCTTCAAATTTATCGGAGATCCGCGCGGATTTCTCTGGTCGGCGCTGGACCTCCCCGGCGGCAGCTCCAGCGCCGCCACTGGCGCGCGCCGGGCGCCAGGCAGGGGAACATTGGACCCAGACATCCAACGATCGGAAACGTCAGAGCGCTTTCTGCGTTCGCAGTTCTCGGCCTCGCTGGCTGGGGTCCCCTCTCGGGCCCCAGGGCGGTGAGGAGAGCGACTCGGACCCGGGATGAAGACTGTTCTCCGGGAAGGGGTCGAGATCTTCAGGGCACGAACAATCAATCTATCGGAGGTCTGGGGACGATTCTCTGTCTTACCCAGCTCGAGTACGCTTCGCGGGTGTGCCTGCTCAAGTCCTCCCCGCTGTCTCCTTCTGTGGATTGGCTTCCTCCCTTCAGTGCAGACGATTGTTCTGTTGGGATCTTCTTAGCCGTGCCTGGCGCGATATAGTGTTCTGTCCTGTTGTATAGACATGACCGGTAGTGCCATCGGGGATGCGCACACCAGGGCCATAGGGCCATCAGGCCATCGTCCTGCCTCTCCTCTCCTCAATCTCCTCCTCCGCCTCCTCCTCCTCCCCACACGGAGCCGGGGCCCGCAGTTCGGCCACGCTCGCGGAACAACCCTGCTGCCCAGCGGACTCGTTGGGTCGTGCCCGCAAGAAAGCCCTCCGGCGCGCGCCACTTGCGAAACGCGGTGCACCGACGTTCGCTGCCGTCTCGGTGCAGCCTCTGGCGCTCGGCGGACCACTCGAGCTGCTCGCTGCTCACTCCGCGGGCCGTGGGCCATCCGTCGGGGCCCCCAGCTGGGAGACACTGGGCGGGGGGGGGGGGGGAGGGGGAGCGGGGGCGGGAGGCGGGAGGGGGGAGGAGGCGAGAGGGAGGAGGGAGGAGGGAGGGAGGGAGGAGGGAGGAGGGAGGAAGGAGGAGGGAGGAAGGGATGAGGGAGGAGGGAGAGGGAAGTGCGGGCGACGCCGAGCCCCCTGGGAGAGAGTCCCGCTGGAGCCCGGGGGCTGCCCCCGGTGGGCCCGCCAGCGGGACCAGGCCCGCCCTCGGGAGACGCCACGTCCATGGAGGAGGAGCAGGAGGAGGAGGAGGAGGAGAAAGAGGAGGAGGAGGAGGAGGAGGAGGAGGGAGGAGGGAGGGGAGAGGAGAGAGGGGAAAGGAGGAGGAGGGGGGAGGAGGAGGGGAGGAGGAGGAGGAGGAGGAGGAGGAGGAGGAGGAAGAGCAAGCCGGGTTGAAACCAGGGGGCTCTGGCTGGTGGGCCCGCCAGCAGGACGGAGCTTCCTCTCGGGCGACGCCACGTCTGGTTGGAGCCTTGGGGTTCCATCTCGTGGGCATTCTGCTGGACTTGCGGTTGGGCTCCATCTGGTGGGCTTCGTCTGGTGGGCCTCATTTGGTTGTCCAAGGAAGGTGGGAAAGTGGATGGGCAGAGCCAGAGATCCACTCACAGCTGCCGCGCGGGGCCTAGCAACCGTTCACAGAGACACCGTATGGGTTTCCCTGGCGCTCCCTATCAACGGGCCAGCTGTGCTTGCTGGTCTGCGCGGGTTTCATCGTGGAGGAGCGCTTGGTCGTTGGCCCTTGGCGCTTCACTTCTCCTGGTCTTTGGGATAACCGAGAACCTCGGAGAATAAACCCCCAGGGATAGTAAAGTTCGGGGTTTTCGGGGAGATTATAAGAGTTGCCCGCCAGAGCCAGCATAAAGAGATACCAAGAGGAAAAAGCCAAAGATATCTTGAGGATCCTTGGTCTTTGGTTCTCTATGAGGCATCCTCAACAATGATTTGTCTTGGTTGAGACATCCTCAACGAATTGCTAGCTTCGCTTGAGACATCCTCGCAATATGTGTCTGTTTCGCTTGAGACATCTTCACATTATTGCTTATTTCGTTTGCGACATCCTTGAGGGAGGAGGAGGAGGAGGAGAAAGAGCAAGAGGAGGAGAGGAGAAGGAGATAGCAAAAATCCACAGTTTAAAAAATAGTATATTTAATTTGTAAACGCTTGTTGAAAATTAAAAATTTCCATCTGCTCGTGTAGGGTAGCCCACGTGCTTCGTTTTCCCAGGGTAATCAACCCCAGCGATAAACAAGTTCAGGGCGCCAGGGGAGGAGGAGGAGAAAGAGATAGAGAGACAGAGAGAGAGAGAGAGAGACAGAGAACGAAAGAAAGAGAGATAGAAAGAACTACAAAGAGACATAATGACATTGGTTTCGCTTGGGACATCCTTGAGGGAGGAGGAGGGGAAAGAGCAAGAGGAGGAGAGGAGAAGGAGATAGCAAACATCCAAACTTAAAAAAATATTTGATTTAATGTGTAAACGCTTGATGAACATTAAACTGTTCATCTGCTCGTGTAGGGTAGGTAGCTCACGTGCCTCGCTTTCCCAGGATAATCAACCCCAGCGGTAAACAAGTTCAGGGCGCCGGAGGGAGGAGGAGGAGGAGAAAGAGATAAAGAGACAGAGAGAGAGCGAGAGAGAGAGACAGAGAAATAAAGAGAGACAGACAGAACTACAAAGACACAGAAGGACATTGGTTTCGCTTGAGACATCCTGAAACAACGTGTTCGCTTCGCTTGATGTTGTTATCTCACCTTAAGAAGGAAGGAACCTCGATGGCGAACTTTCCCAGTGATAATGAAGTTCGGCCTCCGCGCCCTCCGCCTATATTTGAAACCCTTCTAGGCCGACGATAAAAAACCCGAACGACTTAAGGTGGGGGTACTTTATTAGCCTGGGTATGCGGTTACCCTCTCTAAGGTTGGCTGTTCTCTTCTCCTTTGAGACTAATGCGTCTTGGAATAGGAGCGGTCAACACTAACCCCGCGAGACGCTTACGAAGCCATGCTCAAAAATCTATACGGGACATTTAGAAGAAAAAAAGTGCATCACGATTTGGGCCGCTGCGACAAAACGTCGCACAGCCATTCCCGACACGACGCCCCGCGGAAACCCGCGGCCCACGAGCACAGCCACATCGCAAGGACATGGTAGGTGTAGTTTGTAGTAGTCGTAGCACTAGTCGTCATAATAGTATTCGTAGTCGCACTAGTAGGTGTAGCAGTAGTCGTGGTGGTAGTAGTAGTAGTAGTAGTAGTAGTAGTAGTAGTAGTAGTAGTAGTAGTAGTATTCGTAGTAGTAGTGGTCGTAGTAGTAGTAGTAGTAGTAG